AGGATATTGTCTTATGATCCATGAACATAGGATATCTATCCATTTATGTCTGTTTTATTTAATTTTTATTTAATTTATTTCAGAATGCTTTATAGTTTTCAGTATACAAGTTTTTGGCCTTTTTTTTTTTTTTTTTGGTACTAGGGATTGAACCCAGGGGTACTTAACCATTGAGACACATCCCCAGTCCTTTTTTATATTTTATTTAGAGTCGGGGTCTTTCTGAGTTGCTTAGGGCCTTGATAAGTTGCTGAGGTTGGCTTTGAATTCATGATTGTCCTGCCTCAGCCTCCCAAACCACTGGGATTACAGGCACGTGCCACTATGCCCAGTTTACACAATGTCTCTTATGGGGAGAAATGTACAAAGACATACTAGATAGAGGGGCACAGACAATAACCTTTGACACATAAAATTAACTTAAGTATGTATCTAATTAGCACAACATATATTGATTTCCCCAAACCAATACTGCTGAATAAGAAGCAAAACAGGACATGAATCAAAATGTTACATAAACAAAATGCAAATTCATGGCTATCTGTGCAATGGATTAATGGGATTAGAGGCAAGAATAGATAGGTGGCAAACAACTCTGGATTTATGCAGAATGTGCCAGTAGGTGAGGATTGTCCCTTAGCCAGGCAGAGGATATATATTTCCTTTCTTACAGTTATTAATGCTCAAATGATTGTATGTGATTGCTTCTTATCCATGAAAAGAAGACAATAATTCAACCAGTTTCACACAAATTTTGTGTTGTTAAAATCCCAGATTTTGTTTTTGTGAATGTACATAAATTGTTATTTATTTTCTGACTTTTACAATAAGTCTCTATTATTTCAAATGAATCCAGGATGCTATTTTTAAATTCTTCTCTAAAATTAGTAACTGTGATTACAGGTATGGTTCATTACAATTATCAATTAATTTAGGACTAAATAACCTATGGAGAGAAATCTAGAATACCATTCATATAAATTTCTGAAGCACTACAAATGTTCTTTGAAAATTTCCTCTGAAGGTTAAGAAAATATTCAAAGGCAAGAAAAAGAAAGAAAGAAAAGATGAAAAGAAAAACAAACAGATGAACTAATAAAAAGTTCAGAGAAATAAAAGGATCAAATTTTTTTGAAGGATAGATAAAAGCATACAGCCTATAGTCATTGTTTACATGCCTTGTTCCATGTATAATCTTGAGAAACTTGTGCCTGTGTTAATTGTTTATTTTACAGTACATTAAAATTGTTGATGCACTTTTCTGCTTCTTTTGCTAGAAATTGAGATTTTTGCATGAAAAATCTTGTGTCTGATTAGCAGCATCTGTCTCATAGATAATTGTAATAGGCAGAATTCTAATATAAACCTCTGACAGGAAAAAAAATTGGGATGGAGTAGTCCTGGTATGGGGTACTTAAAATGGATTTAGAAGGCCATTGTTAATCAGATCTCAGGTAGGTTCACAGACGAACCTTTGAATTGGACTACAGACATCTCCCTGCCCCCTGCCAGATTTGAGTTGACCTTTGAAACATTATTAACTTCCACTGACCCTCTGAACAATGAATCTCTTCCCCCATACTCCATAAAGACTCATGCTTTACCCAAACCCTTTTTACAAGCTGGCTTAACTTTTACCAGTACCAACTATAATTCCTGATTGACAAATTATGTAATTTATAATCCCCTTGACTCCTTCCTTCCTTCCTTCCTTCCTTCCTTCCTTCCTTCCTTCCTTCCTTCCTTCCTTCCAGATTGAACTGAACCACTGAGCCACATCCCCAGCCCTATTTTGTATTTATTTAGAGACAGGGTCTCACTTAGTTGCTTAATATCTTGCCTTTCCTGAGGCTGGCTTTGATTCATCCTGCCTCAGCTTCCTAGGCTGCTGGGATTACAGGCATGTGCCATGATGCCCCCAGCCATACCCCTGTATCTTAAAGCTATAAACACAGCTGCAATTTTGTAAATGCTCAAAGCACATTTTCAAGACCACTTGAATCTGTGTTTTTGTAGATTGCAATTCTATTAAGGCCCAAATAAATACATTTTTTTTTGTTCTCAACTAGATTAAATTTATTCTGGTTTGATATCTCAATGACTGACATCACTAAATAATTCCTCCCTTTGAGAGCTTGAGAGCTTGCCGATATGATGAGCTATGACTCCCATGATTACATGTTATATGACCCCCCTTTAAGGTGGGGACATTACTGTTTCAGGAAGGGTGATTATCCTTGGTTTATTGACCTTATCATGTGTGTCATTTTATTTGGTCTAGATGTCACAGAAGTGAGAGATCAAAAGCCTAATGAGAATTTAATATTAGGGCTCTTTCTGATGGTGCTACAGGATTAAGTTGTGCTATTATGAGAAGGCCTATGGGAAAAACCATGAGTGGCAGCTAGGAACTGAGAATGGCTCCCAGTCATTGAACCACCAGTGAATTTTGCCAACAAACTTAATAAGCTTGAAAGCATATTCTTTCCAAGAGCCTTCAGTGAACCTGTAGCCAGCAGACACATTGAATGTAAGATCCTGAATAGGACCAAATTGAGCCATGCCATAAATTTGTAATTTGTTATGTTTTAAGCCACTAGGGTTACAGTGGTGATCTGTTGTACAGTATGTTAATCAGTTTGCTGTTACTGTAACAAATACATGAGATAATCCGTTTATAAAAATAAAATGTTTATTTTGGCTCACAGTTGTGGAGGTTTTAATCCATGGTTGGTTGGTGGGCAAAACATTTCAATTTAGGGCTGGGAATCAAAAGACAAAAAGAAGAGGTGAGGTTCTTTCAAGGGCATACCACCAGTGAACTAAGACCTCCCACTAGGCCCCACCTTTTAAAGTATCACTTCCCAGAAGTGACAAGCTGGGGACTAAAACTTTAACACATGGCCTTCTGGGAGACATTCCAGATCCAAACTATAGTTCACTGTACTAGAAAACTGCTATAGTTTGGACCTAGATTATCCCCTGTGATGAAGGTTTGGCCTCCAACTTGTGGGAATCCTTAGGAGGCAAGGTGTACTGGGGGAAGTGAGGTCATTAGGGGTATACCCCCCCGAGGGCTCTCATGGAATCCTGGTCCCTTCCTTTTTCTCTTTGCTTCTTGGCTACTGTAAGGTGAACCAGCTTTCTCTGCCTTGTGCTCTTAGTATGATGTACTGTGCTGCTGCAGGCCCCAGAGCAACATTACCAAGCAAATATGGAATGAAATATGGAATGAAACCATGAGCCAAAATACACCTTTTGGCTTTTTATGTTGATTACCTCAGATATTTATCACAGTGACAGAAAACTGACTAACACAAAAAAGAATAGAAACTTTGGTTCCAGGAATAGAGTATTGCCATAATAAATATAGTAGTTCTCCCCTTACCCATGGGGCATATGTTCTAAGAGCCCTAGTGGATGCTTGAAATCTATATTTCTGCCCTTTGCTTTTCAAAACTTCTAATCTTATTTCTTTTTAATTCAAATTTATTGATTATATATCAGTGAAAATATTTAGCTATCTGGTTTCTTCTTGCTGTGTATAGCACATACGAATATAACCCATACGAATATGGGTTCTCTCTCAAAATATCATACTGTACTATCACTTTTGCCCCTAAAGGAAATGCTTTGCAGCTTTTCTTAGGTATATCTGAATTGCAGCACTAGTACTCTTGCACTTTGGGGCCATTATTAAATAAAAAAGGGCTACTTGAATACAAGCAGTGTGATTTGCAACAATTAATCTGATAGCTGAGATGGCTACTAGTGACTAAGAGGTAGGTAGCATATACAGCATGGATATGCTGCACAAAGAGATGATTCACATCCTCAGTGGTATGGAACAGAACAGTATGAGATTTAATCAAGCAACTCAGAATAGTGAACAATTTAAAACTTATGAATTGTTTATTTCTGCAATTTTCCATTTAGTATTTTTGGAGCAAAGTTGATTATGAGTAACTGAAACTGTGGAAAGCAAAATCCAGGCCAAAGGGGAACTACTATACCTAAAAACATGTCAATGACTTTGGAATTGGACAGTGGGTGGAAGTTGCAAGAATTTCAAGAGACATCATAAAGGAAAACAAACAAACAAACAAACAAACAAACAAACAAACAAACAAACCAGGAGGCTGAGAATGGGGACACACACCTGTAATCCCAGCATGCCAGAAGCTGAGACAGGAGGATTGCAAATTCAAGGCCAGCCTGGGCAATTTAGCAAGACCCTATCTCAAAATCAGAAATAAAAAAGACTGAGGATGTAGTTCATTGGTACAACAGTTTCCTAGCTTGCACAAGGCCCTAGTTTGGAACTATTTCAAGAATTGTGCTCACTGTGTAATCCCAGTGGCTCAAGAGGCTCAGACAGGAGAGGTTTGAGGCCCTATGTAACTTAGTAAAACCCTGCCTCAAAAAAAAAAAAAAAAAAAAAAATGAAAAGGGAGGGGGGGGAGGGGGGGCGCCGAGGATGTAGCTGGATGGTAAACTGCTCCTGGGTTCAATCTCCAGTATTCTCTACCCCCAAAATTGTACTCAAGAGCTGGATCTAACAGATTACTGCTGGGGAAACTCATCTACACTGCTTTAGAGGATTTTGATGATGAGACCATGGACTTTGAACTGATGAGATGATGATTTTTAGGCTTGGGTTAGGTCTTTTGGTGAGTGGACGTTACAATAGGACAAGACAGACTCTTGAAAACTTTGGGTTGTAGTAAAATGTATTTTGCATTTGAAAGGAACATGTGTCACTTGAGGTGAGAGGGAGAGGCCCTATGATACCCGGTCTCTTCCATCAATCTGAGGGTTCTCGGTGATGACCATCCCCTGCAAACCTGGGGCTCTGGCACATTTGGCTTGCCACTCCGTATGGGGCAACCATGGGTAAGGTCTGTCCCTAGAAAGCCTGGACTGACCAAGACAGTTTGCAAGCAAGTGCGGTTTGCCAGGGGCACGTGATCGGTCACGCGCGCAGTCAGCTCAGTGCGGTACACAGAAGTGGACCAGCCGAATGGCCGGTGCCGGGGCCAAAAAATCAGGCCTAGGCTGGTCGGGGGCCTGGGGGCTGACTGCCCTCATGTACAGCCTGTGCTTCCCGGCACTGCAAGCTCAGGACACCGAGCCCAACCTGTCGCAGAGTAAATGGACAAAGGCCAGGGGCGGACTCAGAGGGGCAGCCAGTTTCACGTTCCGCCCCGCCCTGCCATTTTCCGGGATGACCAGAGCCAGGCTAAGTCTAGCTCTAGGGGCTAGCGTTGGCAATTAGGAGGCCTTTGGATTGAGGAAAGGGGGCAGTGAGAGGGGGACTGAGAAGGCCTGGGGAGGGGGGATACACAAAGTGTGTCCCCTTTTCCCTGTTGGATTTTCCCCAGTGGATGACATCTCAATTTAAGGGCCAAGGTCCTGCATGAATTTGTCTAGGTGGGGTACCCACACGGGCTCTTTATCAAGTCAAGGTGGGGACTCACAGCTACTGTCTTCAAATAGGGCTGTGTTCCTTAGGTAAGGGAAGTTCTGAGAAGTCCTTCCTCCCTGACCTCTGCTCTGTGGGGATTCTTCCCATGAGAGGCAGCTTCATGCTGATATGTGCCCCCCTGTCCCCCCGCCCCCCATTCAATGTAAAAATTGCTCCATCACAAGGGCCATGTCACTTCATCCTGGGCCTTGGGTATTCCTACTTAGCAAATGAGAAGAGGGGCTGTCCCTGAGGTCCTCTTACTATTATATTTGGGGGCACCGAGGGCTGATGTCGTGAATGTAGGTGCCTCATAGCTGGAATTGTCTCCACAGTATGTGGCAGGAACAAATTAGCCCCGAAGATCTTAGGTGGAAAGAGGGCAGGACCTGAACGGTGGCCATGGCAGGCTGCTCTACTTCTCAGAGGCAAATTTATCTGTGGAGCTGCCCTCATTGACAGCAACTGGGTGGCCTCTGCGGCCCACTGCTTCCAAAGGTGCAATTTCCCTCTGTGGGGCCCCAGCCACTAGGAAGGGACTGCAGGAGGGAGGCACAAGGTGGGCAGGATAGAAGAGACTTTCCTATTTAGGCTTTATTCTAGGACAGTTTGATGCCATCAGGTGTCCCTGTGCTGTTGCCCTGCCTTTGGTCCAATGTGCCCTCTACCTGGAATGCCATCCCTGCTTGTCTGTGTGCTTCTTCTAGGCAGAAGTCCCTGACTTCATCTCACACCCTAAGGATGCCCTGCACTCCCCCATCCCCACTTCCACTTTGGTAAACCCACCAAGATGATGTAGTTGTCACCATGACATGCACATTGCTCTTTTTATTTTTTTAAATATTTTTTTAGTTTTAGATGGACACAACATCTTTATTTATTTACTTATGTGGTGCTGAGGGTTGAACCCAGGGCCTCACACGCACAAGGCAAGTGCTCTACCACTGAGCTACAACCCAGCCCACATGTTACTTTTAAATAGCCAACTAGAAATTAATTCACTCTGGTTGTGATTACCAATAAATACTGGAAATTAGACTTGAGTTCAAAAATGACCACCCCTACTCTTTATTTTCCATAAACACTAGGGATAAAAATCTCACCCTCTCGGGATGGACTTTGTAGTCTGTGTCCTACCCACTCCTAGACAGTGTCAGCAGATGTCATCAGACCTTAGTTAACTCTTGTGCAAATGGTAGTGACTGTGAACTTATCCCTGGCCACACGTGTAGAACAGGTCCATGTGTTAGAATGCTAGTCCCAGGTCCCTGTTTCCCAGGGCCGGTGGATTGGAGTTAGCCCACATAGACAAATGTCTTGCCTCCTCTAGCCAGGGCTCTCCATAAGCTATCCAGGGCACACCTTCTGTGGAGTCTTGGGCCCAGGTCCTAGCAACTTGCACATTGCACTACATTCCTCTCTGGAGTTGTCCTGGGACCCTGTTTAACCAACACCAGGGGTTCCTGCTGCTCCTGTAGTGATATACCTAGGAAGAGCTGAGGTTACCACCATCCCCTAGACCAGTATAAGGGA